GTTCGCTTCCTGATGGGCGTGAAGAACAGTCAAACCAACTTTGAAAGTTTATAAACTAATCCGAAACCAAAACCAACCCAAAATTGCTGGTTTGTTGTCCCCTCAGTAGTAACGCTACCTTGATTCTATAGCGAAACGGGCAGCTAGTTTGCAACTTGTTTGTTGATTTATCACATCAGCAGTGTCCATTTTAGCATATCTTTGGGCTTGACTTTATGAAACAGAGGTCGCTCCTGCAGCGCTGCTTCATTTTTGTTCCCTGCGGTTTTATTATCTTTAATCTCCTTGCCGTATTTTTCAACCTGTTCTGTTGTGCCCATTGAAACTTTTTCTCTGACCTGATAGGTCTGCGCCTCAGAGGTCCTTTAAGTGGTTTTACTTTGGCCTAGCAACACTATACTCAGCTTGCATTTATCCTCCTGAAGGGGTCATTTGGTTCTTCTCTCTTTCTTCGCTCCTCCAAATTCTCGATTTCTTTACAGTGATCGTTGTGTAAGGCGCGAGTGTTTGCTAATTGTACGGTACCGTCTTGGTCCGCCTGATTGTGGTATACAGTGCCCTAAGTATCCACTTTGAAGGTAGATACCTTGGATATCTTTATTGGAACCAGAGTAGGCGCTCATCGCAACTCCTTCAAGCGCATACCCCACTTCGTGGTCATTATGCCTCAACTTGCCTAGCAGGTTCAACATATACGTACTGGTGCAGCTTTTGACAGCGCCTTAGCTAGAGAGTAAGCAAGTCGAGGGTCTTCGATCTTGTTTTCTTTTTAGCCTTGAAAATAAGTTAAATAACGACTTTAAAAGCAACAATTGCTCTGTTTCACCAACCAAGTTGCTACTCCTAACTACTTTGTGGCCATCAAACAAATGGGCGATATGACGAATGCAGGAAGGGCGTGAAGCAGTCTTTGAGGGTAGTCTTTACACCTAGCGCAATGTAGTAGTAGGTTGTAAACCACACTGGCATATCAAAAGCTGCAGTTATTTTGGTTTAGGCGTATCTTAAGCCCGTACGTGTCACATTGTCGGCTCGTAAGTTTTACCGTTTGTTTATACAGTCGAACTTCATTCGGCTTCCGGTTTGATTCCGGTCAAGTGCTAGGCGTTATCGCCCTGTAGATTTTCTGATAAACTGTGAGGTTTGTTGACTGAAATGACTGGAATACCCCTTTGTCCTCTTCTGTACCTTTAGGAGGCAGCAATAGTGTCTTCCACAGATAAATGAGATTCTTATTTCCTCTTTAGAGGCGGAGCAGGCTGCGGAGGTGGCAGCCATTGAGTGGCGCATGCGATTGTCAGCAAAGGAGAACGAACAGGCAATCGCTGCCATTGAGGATGGTATTCGAGCATCAAGGGCCCGTGCAGACGCAGACGCAGACTTCTACCGCGCCTCAAGACAGGCGGAGGCTGACACTTTGCGCTTGACACCACGGTATTTGGAGCTGGAACGCTATCGGGCGATGGCGAGCAATGCCAAGGTCTACTTTACGTCACTGGGTGGACAGAATCCCTTTCTCCCCTCTTCCACTAACAATGTCCCACCTACGGAGTCAAGTAGCGATCTCCTCTCCACTGTGCTTGACAATGTGAACAATCTTAAAAGTGTAGGTGGGGGAGTACTCGCGCATTTGCTCAACTCAGCTTTAAGCACTGATGAGGAGAATGGAAGTGGAAGGACGAATGCAAGCGGACAGATGGACGAGGAGGAACCTTGAATCTCGTTTTTCTACTTTTGCTTATATTTCGAAACTTGCCACTTTTTTACGAGAAATAAAGTAGTGGTGTAAGAATTTGTTTGTTTGCTTGATTGCCCACGTGGCTCGTTTCTCCGTATTACGTGATGCATTCATCTCGTGAATGCAAGGTAGGTGAGGCGGTACGTGCAAAATCGGCCTTCATATGATCGGGAACTTGGTCAAATTCAGGGCAGCTGCTGAACTCCCCAACAGAATGTCATTTGCCGCATTGTTGTTCTCCAATATTTGGTTTGACTCTGGCTGTGACAAGGTCGGTATTTGCCTTGTTCTTAAAGAAGTGTATAGCAAGAATTTTGGGGGTATTTGAAATAAGAGGCACCACTCCTACAGTGAATGTCGTCATTTTTGGAAGCCTTCCGGATTCTTGCAATGTAGGGTAAGCTGTAATAGCGGCAGTAGCAGTATCATTGTATTAGTCGGAAATATGTCTAGTTCCCTAACATGCATCCTCTGACCTCTATTTGGTATATACCTCGATATACGCCCTGACGTTCGCTCTCCTCACACAAAGGCACGTCAGACACGAAGGGGTGCAAGATGCCTCACCCACGAGCCAGTTGTTTTACATTGTGTGTTTATGAGCGTAATGTTAGTAAGAAGGGCTTAGACTACTCCTTCAAATGGCGAGCCCGGGACACAGCGACACCAACTTCATGCGTACCGCCCCTGCTATAGCCTGCTATGTAAAGCAGTTTAGTTTGGCTAAACAAAATGCGGCTTATGCTTTCGCCTGAGCTTTGATATAGAAAATAGGGAAATCTTGTCCTTTAAATGAAATGTGAGGATGTAGCTAGTATTATTAGATCACCATTTTGTAACATGTAAACGGGTCAAGTTGGAGGTAAATACAAAACCCCAGGTGTGCTCATTCTGTGTAACTTCTAATTAGACTTTGGTGGAGAATTGATAAATGCAGTACATGTATGAGATCAACATTATTCCTCGAGTTTGCAAAAACATCATTGGCCACATGCTAGTGATTAGATGTCCACCTGTAAAAGGCAGTAACCTTGAGATTTTAATTACTATCCCCATGTAGCCCGCGTGACCAAATGCTTTTAAGAAAGGATATTAAGAGTGAGAGAAGTGGCTGAAGACATAAACTACATCTAGTATCACCTATCAAAGGTGGTGAAGGGAATTTAAATACATTCAAAGCGGAAAGCCTTTGAAGGTGACTTTTTTAATGAAAGAGATATGCAAGAAGTGAATGGCGGCTCTCGCCTATCCACATACATTTCCTTTGTTGCAGTTTGACCTGAGCATTTATGTATTTCGACACATAGGGTCATTGAAGTGTATTTACTCGTCAACGAGACAATCAGTACAAGGGAAAATTGTTAACCTGGCGACTCACAAATCATGCTACCGCAATACTTGATGGTAAGCATGTGATCATCACGATCGAATCGCTGAGGCCGCCGCGTACGTCGTTGTTCCATGTAATCACGCACCCGTTTGCGGATCCGGCACCATGAGAACACACCGATACTACTCATAAGAAGAAAGTAGCCTACGACAAGGACGACGGCTACACACTCAGATGGAAAGAGCTCCAACTGTTTGAAATTGCCTGTGGTGGAGATTTCGCTAGGCTCCATTGAGAGAAATGGGTATAAAAGGACAGGAGTAAGGGAATGAATGCTTTGCCCGCGCCCTCACCATGACAACGAGGGCTTTATGTGGATTGGATGTGCGCCAACCAGTAAAAAGTGTGGTGTGTTGGACTCCTTCACCAACTTTTACAAGCGGGCGAATTTTGAGCTACCTTTCATTCGAAATTTAATTTTACAAGAGCGGTCTTGCCACTTATGAGGGATGAGCTGCAATTTGAATTTTAACCTTCACTAGACAAGGGTGACTGTCATATGGCACTAAGAATGGTACCACCAGTTTGAAGATAAAAGGTTCCATCGATGGTTTTGTCATAAAACTAATTTCGCCAAAAGCAGGCAACCATCCCGAATGGTCCAGTCAGGAGCATTTCCTTACATTCGGCAGCATTATGTGTCAAAATGGGCCACACCATCGTTCATCGTCTATTACCAAGCGAACGTGTTTGTGACAGGTAAAAACAGATGACTTCTGGTCCAATACTGCCCACTTTTAATACTTCACCGAGCTTTCCGTTACTATTCTTATTATTAGTAGTGGTAATGTCAGAAGACAAGTGCGTGTACTTTAGGCCAATCCGGCGATGGTTATGGAACCGCTGGTGCAACCGGCGGCGACGAAACGACCCTCCAGCACACTATCGATGGTCTGAACCACGGAGTCTGTTGGAATACGGATGACCGCCTGTAAAGAAGGGAAGAGAAAAATGTGTTTAGAGTAGGATCAGTGTAATGAAGGCTTGATAGACGAGTTTCGTGGTCGACAAGTTGTGTGGAAGTTCGTCCTCGGCACAATGATCGATGTTGGCAGATTGAACCACATCTCAAAAGCACGAGATTGACAGAAGAAGAAGATACAATCTGCCGCGGCGATGGGGCGGGAATATTGTAGCATTTTGAGGCAGAAACTTGTTCTACATTACTGTGTTTCAGTGACTTTAAACGACAAACTTAATCCTCCACTCTGAATAGCTAACCTGTAAAGGCAGGAGTCGTATTACCGTCGGGCAAGTGAGGAAGTGAACAGAAAGGCACTAAATTTTCTACTTGGAGGAAGTATCACACCCCTGTTATGGCAAAGAGAGCAACTAAAATGAAAGTGTGATTAGGCCGCTACCGGTGCTGCCATGACGACTATGCATTACCTGTCTGCAGTTATGGCATGATGAATGTTGGTATCTGTTGCAGTGTTGCGTTGTAACCAACAGACTCACCATCTTCGTGTCGCGATTGAAGACACGAACATCATTAAATCCTGAGCCTCCACAGACGACGGCGCGACTGGGAAGAAGACGCGCTGCATAGAGGTATTCGCCACCTCCAGCGTCAGTACATTGTCCCTTCACCACCTCCATCACGTCAATGCGCTCCGAGGGCTGCATGTAGGCTTGTTTTCGCAGTGTGTTCTCCACTTCACCGCTGAACAAATCACTGCCTCTCACAGATGCCTCAGTCGTATCCACATAACGCAAATCCCAAATCTATGCGCATATTGCACCAACTTCAGATGGAATTAATGGTGAGGAACTTTTCAATGTTTTGATTACAGCCTACGCGACGCCAACTCCTTGCACAAACTTTAAAAGACTACAATCGGATTTGCAAAACCTATACCTCAGCCCTCCACTAATGGCTGTTTTTGTAGAAGAACGCTTCACTGAGGTGGTATGCAATTAACCGCATTTGGAAGTTCAAGGTGAAGAGCTTCAATCAGTGAGAGGGTTAATTGTTACAACAAGATGCAGCGTTTGAATATATGACCAGCATAAAAACTGAGGAAAAAGTACTGAGCTTGATGAAGGATTTGAGACCTTGTGTCGATTTGGTAGCACAGTGCCTTGGTGCTCTCACAATCACCTCCTCAGCCTCACTACTCTAACAGGAGGCATCAACGTGAACTGCTAACTTTACATCAGGTGATGAATGCATGCCAAGAATTGAAGCCTCACGCATGAACCTCCAAAGCTCTGGATGCAAACAATGGAAGGGTAAAGAACGCTACATTACGCTTCAGTAAAATGAGACTGTTTAGTTTCTCACAAGAAAAGGGTGAGGAGAAAGAGACAAGAGTATTTAAGAGTCATACTTCAAGAGCTTGTCGTTTACGCCACGAGGCGGTAAGAATCTGGTCGCCTTCAATGTCAAGGCCCTCGGGACTGCAAACTAGAGGCCCGTAGATATTGTGCACTGGTCCATTCCGCGTCCTTGTGTCCCATACCTGTAGACATAATGCTTTGTTTGTGTATAATCTTGTACAATACAACTAAGACCCTTGTGCTGTTCACTGGTGAGTCTTTTGGTTTGAGATTGGCAAACTAGATTACCGGGCTATTTTCGCAAAAAAATGCGGTGATTTTGAACACCTCCAATTAAACGCGTACAACTAGACTATCACCAGCGTACATATAGTTAATAATAGAACCAAACTGTGCCCAGTCAAGCCTTTCTTTTGCGACGGCAATTTCTTTGGTGGTGCGTAAGGAGCACAACCAATGGATGGTTGAGCAAACTTATGAAATTTCACCGTGAAGTTCATCGCTAAATTTGAATATTGTTGACAAGATTTCTTAAAAGCGGTGTAGTTGCATACTATTTCGATGGCACAAAATGGGTAGTCCCCGACTAACTTAACAAATTATCACCGATAAAGCAATGATGTCCAGTGTGTTTTACCAGACAACTGCAATTAAATCCAGTGACTTGCAAGCTCCTGCGTCCACACTTGCTGATCTCCTATGTATCGGTCATAGCAGTGTGAAAGCCAAAGCTTAATTCTTCGTAGCTTCAATCTAACAGTCGCTTGTGACAATACAAACGGTGTGCAATGTCAACGGCAGTGTTTATAACATCTAGGAGACCAATTTTACTTCTACTAATAAACCAAAAGTAACATTTTGTTACAAGACTTCAGTCACACTGAAGCATGCATGATGGACCAGAGAAACTCGCATTTAGGCGAGATCAATGCTGTCAGTGCAATGTGAAGGCACCACCCTTTGCGTGAGAATGACAGGCCAATCGTCAAATGTGAGCTCCTCCCATACTAAAAAATACTGCAAGGGCTTGAAAACTGCTTCGTTGTTGCAAAATAAAACAAATTTCAGCACCCACTTTTACGTGGTGATCCCAACTGGCTGAGATGAGAAGTCTGGGTTGAGTGGGATGGTACCTTAGCGCGGTTATCCGCATTGAGTGACCCTCCGTGTAATTGTCAGCCGGACCAGTAGGGCGATAGCCAAGTATTTGTGTCCCACATTTGGTGCCGTCTACCTTGTCTGATTTGGTGTCCCCACCGAAGCTCATCGGCATGATTAATGGTTTGATGGAGACGTCACCTTTGCTTCCCACAATGCGTTTGCAAGGCTCTATTTGTGTGAATAAATCGCGTTCTTCAGTGGAGTGACAAAGACTGAACTCACACTTTAGGCTACTTTCGTATCGATGCGTTGACAGTGTGCGTCTGGCTCTCCTTTGTCCTCTTCCTGATGAGTGTTTGTATGGGTGCAAAGGACAGCGCAAAGTCTTACTTTTTCCGAATTTCGGTCGGCGTTCATTGAGTGGGTCGGAATCTGTGGAGTAGTGCATTTCAAATCTGCCTTGTTGACCAATATGGAGGCTGTAGAGACGAATTGAGGTGTCCGTACCAGCTGTGGCCAACTGCATTCCATCAGATGCGATGTCAAAGCAGTAGGTCTGCTGATTCTCCTCCGTGATGAGGGTTTCAAAACCCTCGTGATTTGAATCGAGACAAAATATGTCCCCCTGGGGAGTGCAGCCTAGCACCCATTGAAGGGTGTTTGGTAGGTAACGTAGACAAGTGATTGGCATATCCAATTTCCATGAGGAAGGACGCAGCACCAACTGCTGCTGACCATCCACCACACTGATAACCTTATCAGAGAAGAAAAAGGTGACTGCTTGTTAAACTCGAAGCAAGGCGATTCTGTGATGTGGAGGGAGGGGGAAGGAAGGAGGGTAGTGTATGTCAACCTACACGAACACTTGTATTGGCGGACCCAGCAATCAGTTGGCGTCCATCAGCACTAAATCGAAGTGTGTGTACACCAAAATCATCCTCCTCAACAACAGAAGTTTCATGACACTTTTTCATGACTTGTGGCTCCTTTTTACAGGCGCTACGACAGGAACACTGTATGCCGCAGTGAGAGCAAGCGGGTCTGTCGGGATCATTGTTTAGGCCCAATTCTGCAGTTGGTTGATATTCGGGAGGATAGAGAGTGCGTTGAAATCGGATCCTTGTCAGTCGAAAAACCGATGATAAACCGTTCTCAACCAGAGCGCTTGCCAAGAGAGCAGATTCCAGATGACGACGCGACATTACTCGGAGGAAAGGAGGGTCAAAAGACTTATTGAGGGCTCTCATTAAGGAGTCATGAGGGTACACAGACAAATGCTGAGGAAGCAACTGGAAGGAAGCCTTACTTTGCATTGTCATCTGCCATAATGCGGAATTTGTGGCTTCCTTTGAAATTTCATCCACCCAGCCCCGACCCAAGTTAAAATAGGGGTAATTGAAGCA